CCTCTTAGACAATGTCACCACAACCAATTTTGTCCTTGCTCACAATTCCCCTTCACACCACTAATAAAATAATATGCCCCTGAATGTTCCAACACTATCTTTGTGTTCCCATCATTATGCATTGCAATTGGACTTGATGTGTTACATGTCACATAATCCCTCTTGCTCACTTCCAAAACTGAATCTTTTGCCCCATCATACTTCCACACTGACAACAAAAAGAAAATCGAGTTAAAATTTTCACTCAGAGGTTCAAAATATGAAAAAGGGGTTCAGGGGTCTCCTGAATTGTCCCTTTATCATTTTATGGTTGCACTAGTAGTATCCCTCTGTTTCAATTTATGTGCCATAAAAACGATTAAAAGTATGTCTCTGAGTTGAAAAAATGAAGATGCAAATTTTAGAGTTGAGATTTTTTTAACTTACCAAGAGAATCTCCAACTAGGAATCGCGATTTTTCAGCCCAACGATTGAGGGAATCCGATTCGGAGGTTGGGATTTTCCAAGAATCAGTTTTTCCACCAACCAAATGGTCTCTGGCTTCTGTGAAGCTCAATAGACTGGAAAACAGAATTGCCATTACAAACACATTTCTTGAAAAACCGGCCATTGAGTATGAAGCAATTAGCTCAAAAACAGCTTTTTTCGACGTATTATGTAGCTTTCGAAAAGGAAAATTGAGGGCCGATGAATAATTTGTTTGATGATTTTACAAAAGTCTATAGATTTATTGTAATATATATAGTAGAGAGAAAACTAGCCGTTAAGAGTTAAATTGCAGCTAACGAGGAGCAAGAAAAATAGCCGTTAAAATAATAGGGCTGAAGGATACTAACGGTCAAATTTTTGTTGGGCTTTTTATATTTTTACTTGGGCTTAGAGGGTCTCTAGCCCAACTTTAGATGAAAGCCCAAAGTGCAGTAAAAGAGGTCGAATGAGAAAAAAGGAATAAAAAAAAATATTCAATGTTTTAATTCATGTGACACGATTGATTAAACATAAAGTTTAGAAAAAAAAAGACTTTTTGAGGTTTTGTAGCATAAAAGCAAATCTTTTACATGTGTTCGCAAACGACTATTATTTAAATTAGTTAATTATAGAAAATATTTCACCAAAACTTAATTATATATGTCAATTTCAATTGGAATACACCTAAATTTTAGGGCTAATATTAAGTAAAAAACTAAGGTGACATGCTTGAAGTGAATAAGCTAACATTTATTTTGCACAGAGACACAGACTTGTACAATTGAGACTAAAATGTTTAATGAATATTATGATACGCCTCTAAATTCTGTTTAAATTATTATATATTATACATACGTCACCATTTATCCTCTAAAACTCAAGTAGTAACAAAACCAAACAAAATTTAAAAAAATGCCACATGGTAAAGTACATGCAAAAGCAAACTTCTCATAACATGACACAAAAGAGTAACGTGTCTACTCATCTCCTCATACCTACACAAACTTCTACATATATATATATATATATATAATATATGAAGAAAAAAAAAAGTAACAAAGTCTCACAAAAAAAAAAAACTATAAAGTTTATCTCAAAACAAAAAGAGATAAAATTAAAAGATACTTTTATTTCTCAATAATAGAAGAAGAAATGGCTAGTGGTGATGTGAATAAGCCATGGAGAAATTTACCGTATAGTCCGGGCACTATGGCGCTAGGCGCTGCTGCTGTTGTTGGTGGTATTTGGTACTACATGACTTACATCAACAAGAAATCGCAACCACCTCTTGCGAGGGTACCCTCGGGTACTGTTCGTCCCGATGATACACCTCGCAAGTAGATGTAATCAAAGACGGATTCAGAATTTTAAATAATGTACTTGTACTTTTTGAGGATACTCCTTGCAAATATAATATTTGGTGAAGTTTTTACATATGTATATTTGTGTTGGAAATATTGAGTTCTATTCTTAACTTAATGATTATAAGCTACATCTACCTTACGCGTAGTTAGAGGCGAATTCAGAATTTTAATTTTTTTTTAATGAATATTTAGCGAGTTTTAGTTTTTACCTATGTATATTTGTGTTGGAAATATGTTGAGTTCCACTTCAACTTATTACTCCCTCTGTCCTTAATTATTTGTCCACTTTTGAATTGACACACCTATTAAAAATGCAATTATTGACATAGTGAGTTTATCATTTTACCTGTATTTGTATTAGTGGATGAATTAAAAGCTTCGAATTTTAAGTTCTACCTTTTTTAATTAATTAAGGTTATAATAGTTAAAAATATTTATCCGTAGGCTACATATGCCTTGAGCTCTTGTATTTTTTTAATTTATTTTTGAACTCTTTTGTACAATTGGTTTTTAGGACCTTTTTGAAATCAGGCTTCATGGAGTATTAATGTTTATCAACTTAGTAAAGTGCTAAATTAATGTCGCTCAAGGCTTCTCAGGACTAGAGTTGTCAATATGGGCTAGCCCACCCCATCCGGGCTAACCCATATAGGCTTTGACATTTTACAGGTCAGGCCGGGCTAGCTCATTTTTGGTGTGGGCCAGAAAATGATCGGCCCAACCCACAAGTACGTGCTACAGGCTTGTCGGGCCAGTCCACTTTTTTTAAAATTATATTTTTTTATAATTATTAAAATAAATTATAAATTATAATTTAAAATATTATCATAAATATCGACAAAATAATATTACATCATGTTAATGTTACTATTTGTTAATCAAATCCACAAATAAAATTATCTTTATAATATATATTAGGGTTTTTTCAAATAAAGTATAAATATATAAATAGAAATATTAACCTAATTGTTTTGTCACATTAAAACACAAAAAATGTGACAATATTCCAACCATAAAAAAGTTAAAAATAAACTCCTTAAAAAAAATCATGAAATTTATGGCGTATCTAACACATCATGAAATCTATGGCGTATTCAACACTTCATGATCATCTTCATCAAGTATATCTGAATCAGCTTGTGGCAAGGTTGTCTTAACATCTTCATTTTCATCTGCAATTTATATGCGGTTTCAATTAGTTAAATATTAAATAGATTTTGAGTTTGGATTCTTTTTAATTTTTAATTTTAATATTATGTTATATTTTTTTAATTATTTTTATTTGGTCCATAGGCCGGCCCTACCTATATTTATTCAAGCCCCACAAATTAGCAGACTTATTCAGGTCGGGCTAAAAAGCTCTTTTCTTAAATGGGCTCCAAAAATCTTAGCCCAGCTCTATTAAATCCCGGGTTAAGCCAGGCTGGCCCAACAGGCCTAGCCCATATTAACGGCTCTACTCAGGACATATATAAAGAGATCTGCTAATTGTCTTATTATTAATTAGATTAAAATTTTGATGTAGTGGTTGAAGTCAAAATTTGTTTGAATATTTCTATTTTATTTTATTTTTGGTACTAAAAGATTGTTACTCCCTCTCTTTAAAAAAAATAGAACGATGCCCTTTTTTTTAATAATATAATTGTGAAGATTAAATGATATTTTGATATTTGATATAATTTTAATTTAGGATAACAAGATTGATTTTTTTTCATTTTTAAATTCCATGTTATTTTTTTCGAAGGGAGTAATATGTTAATAGCTTAATATGCATTACCTTGTGGCAACACTAGGAGGGTTGCTGCGTTACACAATACTTGTTACAATTTTAGTAAATGCAACACCATAATTTTCAAAACTATCAAAAAATAAAATAAAATAAAAATTGAACTGTTGTACAATCATAGCTTAACTTATTATAAGAAAGTATCAGAACATTTTAACGTCATAAAATTTCACTTAATTTAGAAGTTAATTACTAATTAGGTGTTCAGATATACACTAACTAATTTAGAAGTTAATTACTAGAACATTTTAGAGTATTGCTCTCATACGGTGGTATTGATTCGACATTATATTCAAGTAGGTTCATATCTATTTAAGATATATGAATAATTTCAGTCGTCTCCTTTACTTTCCTCCTATCTCATTTGTCATTTTCATGTCTCACTTATGTATCATATACTTTAAATATATGTCAATTGCATTAGATACATGTATATGGTGTGATTCACATATATTTGGATACTATATTATACAATATAGTGTATATCCAGTGTGAAGGTCTTTTTTGGAGAAGTGTTTGCCGGTAATCAAAGCTTTACTTTGACTATATTGTGAAGCTGACAAAATCCAATCCATAAACTTGTGTATTTAGTGTGACTCGAACACAGATATAGATGCTTTCACTCAACAAAGATCTCAAATTCGAGCTCTGAAAGTTAATAAATATTTTTAATAATAAAACATTTTTCTCCAAATAAAATTTACACTGTATAAATTCAAAATAATCAAATTATTAAATACCATTACTAAACATAGGATGAGTAATTAAAAAAATATGCCACACAACAATAAAAAAAAGGAATCAATGTTTTGCTATAGATAAGATTGTTTCTTTGTTAATTAAAATTTTGCAGATTCAATTCTTAATTATTATTATTTTTTATGATTAAAGATCTCAAATTTAAACCTTGAAAATAATAAGAAATATGCAGCACAAAGTAACTATGAGTCATCATCAACCGAACACTATAAAAAGAGGCACATGTAATGTGTACGTGTCGTTTTTTCACGTCCTCTACTTCCTAATAAAATCATGCAAAATGAAAAACCCTAATTTTCTTTTTCACTTTAATTTCTAATATTCCACTCCCCAAAACAAAGCAAAAACAATAAAAAATTTAATAATGGCAGGAAATAATGAAGAATGGAGAAAAATGGCAGATACACACAAAATGAGTCCAGAGGAAGTGAAAAAAGCTGGAGTTGAGTCCTCAAGGAGACCACCAGGCCATAATCCAGGTACTCTAAAACGACGATTTATCGATCGTTTGGTTGCTCGTTAGAACTATACGAGTTTTAAATTGTTTTTTAGAAGTGACTTGGTTGTTGATTAGAGTTATACTCGTATTAAAAATATAAGAATTTTAATTTAGTTATGATAAAATTACTTGGACAAGATTAAGTAATTTCATTTATTTTTTACTTTGTATAAATAATACAAAAATTAACTTGTAACTTATATTTGATTTATTTATGTGAGATTGCAAAATGATAATTAAATGTTGTATTGAATTTTATGCAGAGCAATTAAAAAGTTACTAAAATTGGTATTAATTAGTTAAACTCATTTTATTTCATATTAACTAAATTTGTGGAAAAATATTGAAGAACATAATTTAAGTCACAATTTTCACCATTGATAACTTTATAAGTAGTATAATTTATCTCTTATAAAATATAAAATTTTAATAAATAAACAATCACAATTTTCACTATTGTCCTCACTGAGAAATATAACTTTGTAAGTGGTCTATTTTATCTCTTATAAAATATAAAATTTTAATAAATAAAAGGGTAAATATGAAAAAAGAAAATTGGGACATTCCTTTCAAAATTTGAACAATTAGAAAACCCTCAAAAATTCAATTCAAAAATTCAATTACTATGGAATAGAGGGAGTATTAATTTTCCATAGTAAATATGCACAAGTGCTAAAGTCTTATCGATATTATTTAATTCTAATTAAATATTAAATCTAGTGTTATTTAATGTTGCATTAGGTTCTAGCGGTATTTACAAAACAGTTTCAAAACGTAAAAGGTAAATTTAGTAGAAGTTAAGTTATTATCGTTAATTAAT